TGCAAGCGTGGTGTCATGGCTTATTATAGATAAATAATACACATTTTTTCAAATTACTAGTTATTGGAGAATGTAAAAGTAATGAATTATAATTCGAAAAAATGTCCAAAATTTTAAAGTTTAAATCGTCAAGCCGATTGCATCCTTCTACCAATTCGAATAGTTCGTTCAATCCCCATCTGCCAAACTGGTGGACGGATGTAAATTGATTTTTTTCAATCCACCTAATTTCAGACGGATGGCAAATGAAATGTCACCTGATCCAACCCAATCCACGATCACTCCTAATTTATAATTATTTTTCAAAACTCCAACATTAAAATAAGTGGTCTAATCCTATTGTAAGAAATATTTGATGAAATTTAATAACAGAAGTACCAATTGACACGTGACAAGGCTAAAGTTTTTCTTCATGGGCTAGGTTTTGTCAAGTAACGATAACTCTTTTATCGAATCATATTTTTATTTTAAAAAAATAAATAATAAGTGTAATTTAAAATATAGAATTACATTTAAATGTGATTTTATGAAAGGGTTTCTGATATCTGATTAATGTAATTTTTTTATAAATACATTTTACTCAATATATTATAAAATGTGAAAAGTTTATATTATCAAATTGGTTCCTGAAATAGGCCCAATTAGATGCGCGACAGTTGCTGCATTTAGCACGTAGATTCCGCTTAATAAATTATTTATATACAAATATATTTTATTTATTTATTTGATATGTGATTCTTAAATTTAAAGTGTATAAAATTTAAAAATTAAAGAATACTGGCTTGTAGTGGATCGGACTAGAAGAATGGTACATTTTACTCAATATATTGTAAAATATGAATAGTTTAGATTATCAAATTGGTTCCTGAAATAGGCCCAATTAGATGCGCGACAGTTGCTGCATTTAGCATGTAGATTCCGCTTAATAAATTATTTATATACAACTATATTTTATTTATTTATTTGATATGTGATTCTTAAATTTAAAGTGTATAAAATTTAAAAATTAAAGAATACTGGCTTGTAGTGGATCGGACTAGAAGAATGACTTTAGGTGTGGGTTTGGGCCACGAGTCTATTTTTTTTATAAATATAAAGAAAATTTTATGAGCAAATAATCGGCAAGTCTTTTTTAAAAAGTGTGTATTTTATTTAATCTTAAAATGTTTTAGATAGACCCCAAAATCATATACTTATTTATCTTCTCATCTTTCATTATACCTTACTTCTTCTCTGTATCTTTCTTTCTCTGATATCAGCAACAACTACAATCACGACCACGCCTTCCTTTTTTTTTTTTTTTTTTTTTCTTTTTCTCTTTCTAATCTACAGTCACCAGTGACCACCAAGCACCAACTCCTTGCTTTGTGCTCACCGATGGCGAAAGACATGAGTTTTCGACGAATAAGAAGAGTAGATCTACTCAGATTTGATGTATATTTACGTTAGATCCGGTTAGATCTAAACAAAAAAATAATTGTCGGAGTATAAGCATCTCTTTATATCTGTCTCTTTCCTTCGATCTCTTAGTTTTAATCTCTTTTTTTTTTTGTATATATTTTCCTGTTATAATGGTGAAAATTTTCAAGTTCTGAACAAGTTTTCGAGTTTTAATTATAGACGGTAAAAACTGTGAAATTTTACAATCTCAATTTTTTTGGTGCTAGATTGAATCATTCCTTAGAGCAACAAAATTTTACAGTTTCATAGCTTTTTTTAGAACTATAAAATTTTACAGTTTCATAACATGTTTTTCAGTTTGATTAATAATGATAAATACTTAATAGAATCATATTTTGAAACTTTAACATTTTACAGTTTCAAAACTTGCTTTTCAATTTAATTAATATTAGAAATTATTTGCTTAAACCCTACAAAAATTAAAAATAACATATGTTTTTTTTCATTGTTACTGTTTGTTATTCTTAAGTTTTTTTTTCTTCTTTCAGTTCAATATTTAGCACATTTTGCTCTATTTTTCACTTGAATCTCTCAGTTTATTTTTCTTATTTTTTTGGCAATATTCTAAATATTTCGGTGAGTCTTCGGCGATATTCTTGACGTCCAGGGAATATTCTAAACATTCCAACAACTTCAACTGACATTTATAACATTCCAGCGATACTCCGACGAATTTCCAATGATATTCTGGCGACTTTCCGGTGATATTGATATAGTTTAGCGAGTCTCTGATGACTGTTTAACGGAAGTCCGACAGTGGTGGGATATAAGAGCATTTTTTTTTTAAAAAAAAAAATTAAAAATAAGATTTTTTGGCAACAATTAAAAAATATAAGACTAATTGGTGCAAGTATTTTGTTTTGGAATTAGATGAATTTTAAACTTTGTATATGAAACTTATCAGTAAGTTCCCCAAATTTTTTATTTTGAAACTAACATTATGCAGGTATATGTGAATATAGATCGTTTGGATTTTGTATTGATCCATTTGGTTCAAGTCTCGACTACACAAGCTTTTTTTTTTAGCGTTTGGTTTCACTTAGACTCTGTTTATTTAAGATTTTGGATATACCTTTGAAAATGAAAAAGAAAAGAAAAAAATTGAGATAAATATGAATAAAATATAAGTTAAATTTTTCTTTCATTTTTATTTTTCTTTCTAAATCTCTATTTAAATTTATGATTCACATATAGCGTTAGTTTGATTCCTCACTGTTCTTTGCACAACTTGTCAGTATGTTTAAAAGAAAGTTTGTAATAAGAAGCCCTCACTATTTAGGCATCTTTGGAAAGGTAAAAACAAGCCAGTTAATTAGTTTATTGATTTATTTAAGTCATATCATTTTTATAAATTTTTTCAAAAATAAAGAAATAAAAAAAAAATTAACTCCCCAAAATAAGCCCTACTCACATACACAATATGCCCTATTACACTCATATTCAAATTATTACAAGATGACAAACCATAACGCAAACACAGTACCACACTCGAATTATCACAACATAACAAATCATAGAACAGACAGAGACACAAACACAAATACATGAGTTCCACCATGCAAATGATTTTAAGAGTGCTAGGCATGTAAAAATGAATGAAGCTATTTGAAGTTTTGTAAATATCAATTTATTATTTAGTAAATAAGTTAAGGTTAAACACATTTTACAAATTATTGAATTTTTATTTTTAAAACAAATTTATCTTAGGCGTCATTTGGGAAGAATGGATTGGGTAGGTTTGGGGTTATTTTAGTCACAAAAAGACAAAATAAACTTTTTAACTTAATAAAACAGACATCACATCTAACCCATAATCATTAAATTTTTTCTCTTACAAAAAGTTAAAAAAGTCAAAAAGTTCTTTCCAAACGAGTCTTTTTAGCCCCAGACTAAAATAGCCAAAAAAATTAAAAAATTAAAAAATCAACCTACTTCTTAATAAATTTGTATCTACTCTAAAGTGGTATTTAATATAGGTGAAAACTAAATACTGAATTTATTTAAGTGCTAAACGAAAAATAAATTATTTAATATATATAAGATCAAATTTGAAACTTATTATTTTTAAACTATATATTTCAATTTTTATGTTGTGATGTTTGTGATAGAGCCATACGATGGTGATTGTGATGGTGGTAGCGATAGCGTTAATGATGATGGTGGTGATGATAGCATTGATGGTAGTGGTGGTAACGGTAATAAAATGATGGTGGTGTTTATAGAAACAATAACAATGGTGATGAAAATGGTGGCAATAGTGGTGGCGACAGTAGCAGTAATGGTAGCGTGGTGATGGTGTTTGTGATATATAATAGTATAAATCGACGCTTATGTTTAATATTTATAAATTCAATCATAATTAAGTAATTTCATATGACTTAATTTTTTTAAAAAATTTAAACCTATGTAAAATGTAAGTATACGTTATTTATATTTCACCTACCTTTTCATTTTTTCTTTCCAAATTCCTTCCCAAATTCCCTAACCAAACACAACACTAGTGGTGTGAGATAAGAAACAAGAATTAGAATCCCATAACAGAACTAACAATCTTGCAAACCCAACTAATGACAAAATTGTACACGCAAATTGGAAAGTTAATGTGGGTACTATTGACTTTATTATGGTTTGCTGATTTGATTCAAATTTGGCTATTACAAGTTCATATAAAAGTTCATATTCTTAAATATCGCAATGACGAAGAGAACACACCAACTCTTCTGGACTTGAGAATTGCTATATTTCAGTTGTGTTTCCTCAGCCTTCCAAACAGGTTTCCTGTGTCTTCTCAAAGCCTTATGCTCTTCTTTTCTCAAGTTCCAAGCAAAGTTTTTCTCATGAGTCTGGTTTCTAACCAAAATGACTAATTAGTTACCAAATTTTCAAGTCTATGAGAAAAAAGAAAATATATATATATATATATATATGAAAGAGAATGATAAGTAGATGATTCAAAATTTAAAGATTGGAGAGGTAACATGCACCCAAACATACTAGCACCCAAACATACTAGATAACCTGTGCGGTCTACATCCTAGATAGGTCAGAGCAAAAAGCAAAACACATTTATGCTCTTTCATACATCTACTTGAATATTCTACCCCACGGAGTACATGGTGGGAGCTATACAAACAAGTCGAGTCGAGCCAGGCTTTGTATGGCTAGTGCTTGGCTTGTTTGTATATCGAAATCAAAAATCAAGCTCAAGTTCAGCTCACTCAAAGCTTGATAATGAAAAAAAAGTTCAGCTCAATAAATCAAGCTCGGTCGTCTCATTAAATAAATTTAATTGAAACTCATTTAAAATTGGATCAAAAGATTAACAATCTAAATTTAAATATATTTCAAAACTTATTTTCTATCTTAACAAAGCTCGAATAACTTATTACTTGGATCGGTTACAATAATCCTTTTTGTTTGGGTAAACTTCAATAAAACTAATACACATGAAACAAGAAGTTCTATTTATCGTTGTGTTTGATTGGGAGATTCAAGAAGAAATTTAAAAAATGAAAGAGAAAAGATGTGTAAAACTATGTGAAATGTAAGTATATGTTATTTACATTTCACCTACCTTTTCATTTTTCCTTTCCAAATTCCTTCCCAAATTCCCTAACCAAATACAACACTACTGGTGTGAGATAAGAAACAAGAATTAGAATCCCATAACAGAACTAACAATCCTGCAAACCCAACTAATGACAAAATTGTACACGCAAATTGGAAAGTTAATGTGGGTACTATTGACTTTATTATGGTTTACTGATTTGATTCAAATTTGGCTATTACAAGTTCATATAAAAGTTCAAATTCTTAAATATCGCAATGACGAAGAGAACACACCAACTCTTCTGGACTTGAGAATTGCTATATTTCAGTTGTGTTTCCTCAGCCTTCCAAACAGGTTTCCTGCGTCTTGTCAAAGCCTTATGCTCTTCTTTTGAGTCTGGTTTCTAACCAAAATGACTAATTAGTTACCAAATTTTCAAGTCTATGAGAAAAAAGAAAATATATATATGTGAAAGAGAATGATAAGTAGATGATTCAAAATTTAAAGATTGGAGAGGTAACATGCACCCAAACATACTAGCACCCAAACATACTAGATAACCTGTGCGGTCTACATCCTAGATAGGTCAGAGCAAAAAGCAAAACACATTTATGCTCTTTCATACATCTACTTGAATATTCTACCCCACGGAGTACATGGTGGGAGCTATACAAACAAGTCGAGTCGAGCCAGGCTTTGTATGGCTAGTGCTTGGCTTGTTTGTATATCGAAATCAAAAATCAAGCTCAAGTTCAGCTCACTCAAAGCTTGATAATGAAAAAAAAGTTCAGCTCAATAAATCAAGCTCGGTCGTCTCATTAAATATTATGCAATACATAAATAATGTAATTTATCCTATTATTTAAATAAATAATAAACGGGCCAAGTTTATTCCAGCTCCAACTCAGCTCGTTCATTAAACAAGCCTAAGGGTCTGGCCTGAGCTGAGCTTGTGAGCAGCTTGGTTCACTTGCAGCCCTAGTTGGAGCAAATATGTGCCCATAATCTTGCTGTCTGCCAGACAACCTACCACTGGAAACATGAATGGTGGGCTAGAAAAAGAGAGGATTTTTTCTCCGAACTTAATTGCTTTCTGTACTTCATCCGTAAGGAAGAGCAGATACTTCTAAGCCACTACTAAAAGTTGCAGCTTGACAATCATGGTGTGATTAAAATACAAAACCAGAACCAGAAAACGAAAAGCATAATTTACATTTCATGCATCAGATAACCATATAACAGCTTTTCTACAGAAACTAATGTACTAAAAGCATGCAATGCTCACTAAGACGAATGATCTCATTTACTTTTCTTGAGTCTGAGAGCTAATGTTTGCCAGTAGTGCCCTATAGATGAGTAATGTAAAGCTGGCTCATTAATACCAAAAGCAGAGAGCCAAGCAAGGCAGACCAAGCTACTAAGGCAAAGCAGACTAGGAATGCTAGCTACTAAGCTCATTAGTTGAGCATTCTTACTAATAATAATAAAGGTAAAGAAAGGAAGTAAAGCTACTGCTAGTCTAGTAAGGTCAAACATGATAGGACTATACCAATCCATTCTCATCTAAGTGCTCCTAGCTTTCCCTTAGCCCTACCTGCTTTCTTTGTCCTGTCCTTTCCTTTCGCTTTAACACACCGTCTTCCTGAATGTGCTTACTGTACTGGGCTTGAATTGCTTTTCTTGAGTTTGATCTTTGATTGAGATGAGAGCACTACCTATGCGAGTCCAACCTTTCGATATCCTCTCTTTAGCCACTTTAGCAAGGAATAAGGAATCCCTTTGCTTCCTCCACACCCTATACGCTCTCCTTCATATCAAAGCAACCAGCTAACCACTCGCCCCCTATCTGCTCTTCCCCTCTAGCTCCTTCTTATATAGTATTAGGCCCTCACTACTAGATTACTTCCATGCATAGTCTTGGGATGAGAGTCAAGGAAAGCAGCTGGAAGAGGCACCAAAGACGGCTTTTGCAGCTAAAAGGACTATATGCAATCCACTGAAATTTTAATTTTCCGGCATCACGGGAACAAAGACTATACTACTTTCTTCCCCGTATTGAATACTAACAATCTCCCTCAATAAGTTCCCAAGAACATTATTCCAGCAAGTGAAAGACCTTACCATCATAGACCTAATAATCGAAAGCGTTCACAGTGAAAGAGCCTGAAAAAGCTAGTCTGAAACTGAAAGCGCTCGAAAGAAGAAAATCCCATCTTTTTCTATGCTTTGAAAGAGCTCAAGAATGGAAGAAACTCTTGAGTTGACTCAAGTGCGTTACTATTTATTATAGTAGGGGAAAAGTGGAAAGGTAAAGGACTGAATCTAGTCTAGTAGCTCATCCAGATGAGTATATACTATGAAGCATGGACACGAACATGCGACACGACACGGACAAGCAGACATGCAAATTTTCAAAAAATGAGGGACACGACACGCTAGGACACATTCAATATATATAATTAATTTTATTTATTATATGTCATAAAATTATTAAAAAAATCATTAAAAGTTGATAAAAAATACAAAATAACACTATTAAAAATAACAAAACTAATCAACAAAAAAAAATATATATATATATACTGAAATGATAGAGGCACAAAAAGAAAAAAGAAAATATAAAATGAAATTAGGAGGGAAAAAAAAAATAGAAGATAGAGAGAGAGAGAGACTACACTACTCAGCATATATATAAACGAAAAAATAAAAGAAAAGAAAAAGTAAAATGAGACAGAGAGGGTGACTGAGAGAGAGAGAGAAAGACAGCGCCTGAGACAGAGAGAAGATCGGAGAAAAAGAAGAAGAAAATCTAAGCAGAAGAAGAACGGAGAAGATCGAAGCAGGAGAAGATCGAAGCATAAGAAGGACGAAGAAGATCGAAGAAGGTGTACCTTAGATAATGAGCTACGAGCAACGGACGAGGAGCGACAAGGAGCGACGACCGACCACCGAAAATCGACCAGGTCTCTCTTTCTCTTCTATTCTTAGGGCAGATTGTTCTATTTTTGTTTTTTTACAAATCAACCCCAAAGATGTTTTATAAATTCTGAAATTGACCCCCGAACGTGTCCCGCAAGTGTCGGAACGTGTCTGGCTGCCAAAAAAAAAAAAAACACTCTGGTGCGTGTCGGACACATGTCCACCATGTGTCCGTGTCCGACACTGGTACAAAGCCCTCAGAGAGGTGTCCGTGCTTCATAGAGTATATATATGTGAAAGAAGAGCTCTAGACTACTTCAGACATTTGTAGCAGCTTCATAACAGAAGCTATACATTATACATACTGGGTTTTAAATAGAAGCTTTGGACATACCAAACAAGTTCTAAAATGTTGCAAGTGGAGATCCTGCATTGGTGAAGTAAGATGCAAGATCAATATCCACGCCTTTAAACATCTTGATAAAAGGATGCATCTGCATGTCACAAGAAACACAAAAATTAGTCGTTCTGGAAGGTACCGACAGTTCATGAAAGGTATTACAAAAAGATAAAAAAAAAAACAGAGCTTATATTGTATTTGCACCATGAGGTCATTTGCTGTCTGTCTGTCTTTTGGCTCTTTCTTTAGACTGAAATAGACATGAATCAAACAAAAAGGTCAAAAGGAAAACAGTGATAGAATAGTCACAGCTACGTGTAATGGATTATTGATGAGTAAATAAAAATCTAACCAAATGGATCACAATACACTACGGCCATGTTTGATTCACAACACTAATAGTGAGGTATTAATAATCCTATAAAATTAGTGCGGTATTAACTATCCCACCCCTACCCCATTACTAATAATCCTACAAATTTGTTGGATTAATTATCCATTGGATTAACAATCCTAAACCAAAATGTCAAAACAAACATAGAATGATTGGGCCCACGGATTAATAATCCCAATCCCATGCTTTAATCCTTCCAATCAAACATACCCTACAATGGCTAAGTCAATCACGATTCACTTGTAAGATTGAAGGAAGTTGATCAACATGCAAGTCATTTCTACATTAGCGCCAGTTTGGTTCAGCTTGTACCAAGCTGAAAGCTTATAATAAAAAAGAAGTTGAAAGCACCTCTCCCTCTGCTTCTGAATAATCAGTTTTTTTCAGCCTATTTAAGCTGTTTATGCCTCACAAGCTGTAAGTAGAAACTACACCAAACACTGGCACCAGATTTCTGAATGAAAAAAAGCTATAAGCAGCTTCACAAACTGCACCAAACAGCCCCTCATAAGACAGATGATGGACCAAGGACAAGAGTAAAAACAACACCCTGAATAATTTAAATGCAACCACATGAACCTCCAAAGAAGAGAAAAGAAATCAAAATGAGCATGGTAGTATGAACTTTACCAAAACTCTAGCTCACAATGTCAAACTAGAATAAAAATATGTCATTAATGCTATCAAAATTGGAGTCAAATTAGTGGTAGGAAGATCTTATGAGGTAAGTAAGATCCAAAAGGTAAGTTGGATGTATTGCTGCTCATTACCAACACAAATTACTAAAACTAGTGATGTATAATATTTACCATGCAGAAATGAAGGAGCAGAACTCTGGTGAAAATTGATTATTAGGTGCACAAGGCGGAGGTTGGTCAACAATGGTTTCCATAAGCTCATAAACGTTGGTCCATCCTTCACCTTGCTGTGGTGGAGAATATGGAAAATGACCTGTGGCACACTCGAGCAAAACTAACCCCAAGCTCCAAATGTCGCTTCTAGAGCCATATTTGCTTCCACAGATTCTTTCTGGCTACAATACAGAATTGAACATGAACAGCTGTTTAAGTACAATACAAGCATAATAAATTCAATAAAATGTGTTGTTAACTCTCAATCAAGAAATGAAAAAGAAGTATACTTATCCACAAGTACTCACAGACATATAGTTGTATGTGCCAACAAAAGTATTGGCCTGTCCAGCAGTGCCTTGCAATATTGCACTCACACCAAAGTCTGTAATCTTGACTTCCCCTCTATGGTTTACTAATAAATTAGAGGGTTTTAAGTCCCTGTGAATAATGTGCATTTCATGATGAAGATAAGACAAACCCTTGAGCACCTGAATTCAAAAACAAGTAAAGAATCATGCCAAGAGTCTTTTAACATGTATGGAATTAGTCATTCTTTAATGAAAATATCAATACAATACGCCGCACCTGATAACAGATGGCAGAAAGATATGACTCTGGAATATTTTTGACCTTTTTTAAAAAATCTGCCAGTGATCCACCATCCATGTATTCCAAGATTATAGAAATTGCACCATTATCATAGAAAGACTGATAACAGACAACAACATATGGACATTGTGATGACTGATTAATTTTCAGTTCCTGGGCAATCTGCTTTCGAGCAGACTCTTCAATATTCATTTGAATAACCTGAATGTTAAGAGAATTGATCAGAAGTGACCTTCCCAAAGAGTGGAAAACATCATAGCACATGGTGAAGGGAATACAGATGAAGATACACCCATAGAGCATCAGACTTTCAAGCCAGACCAAAAGAAAGTAAGGCAGGCAACATGATAACACGAAGAAATAAGATATCTACATTTACAATGCAGGTAGACCATCATAATTTTCTAAATAAGAAGTGCTTGCACCAAAGGAGTGATCATACCTAGGAAAAATAATTCACTAAGTTAACCAAACAATGTCACCATTGTGCATCAATAAATTGATTGAGAAAGTGTTGCAATTAATGCCATCTTGCCAGCTAAATGAAAAAACATGAGTGCCAGAGTATTCTCTATCAATGCATAATCATATGTGCATTTTAGGTTCCTTTATCATTTGAGGCAATCAAGACATGGAGTAAGTATGACAGAGGTTGCTCAGACTAATTAGTGATTGATGCAACTATGGAGGGGGGAAAAACTATTACATAATCAACTTAGAAGATAAATTGCTAGGAATACAAAGTACAATTATGTACGCAACAAATTTTCAGTCATCAGTTTTACGTCCAGTTTCCAAAAATGGATTAAAAGAGTTGGAACCATGTTCAGCCCTCAGTAGAACATCGTAGCTGCCTGCACAAACCAACACCAGTTGCCAAATCAAACCACGTAGGTTTACTTTAACCACAAATATTAGCATCTTATCGGAGTAGCCAAGTAATAAGCGAATACAAGCTTCCACTAGGCCTGAGTTTGGAAGCAACGGTTTGTGTCCTTTCCTTTTTATGTACCGCTTTCTTGTTTACTATTCTGTCTCTTACCTGCTGTAAAATGCTTGATAATGAAACCCATGTGGTATGACTGAAATCTGAATGTTGAGCAGATCACTGGACCAGGAAACCAAGATAGAACAGTAGACTTTTTATTCTCTCTCTTTAACAGTAGATTTTTTTTGGAGTGCACGCATAGTTGTTAAATCGTGAATCAAAATCCTCTTCTATGAATTATGAATTGAACTGAATAGTGAATTCTAAGATTTAGCAACAAGTTAAAAAACAAATAAAAACAAGTGTGGCATGTGAAGATTAAAAAGATAATATAAATAAATAAATAAAAGTGTAATGTAGAGATCCAAAAAAAAATCCCCTTAAAGAAAGGAAATAACAAAACCCAAAATGAAGCCAAGTAATTAATCTTCAACCATGGTCCCTCCATATGAATCCCATTTCTCCATTCCACTCTATCAAAGGATTAGAGCAATAATTAAACCCTAAAGGACCATGTCTTCTAATTTCCTAACCCATATTAAGTTTGATTTTCCTGTCAATATGGACGATGTTGCTCTTCTATATTTGTGCAATACAATTAGTTTTTCCTTCACATGAAAAATACAACTTTATGAACTAACTAAAAACTTTAAGACATTTAAGCTCTATTTGTTTTGATTTTTCAAAATCTGTTTTTTGAAAAACTTCAAAACTAGTTTGGTAAAAAAAGAAAAAAAAAATGTGAAGTACAAAAAAACACTCATTATTTTCATATGGTTTTCTCTGTTTTGGAGTGGAAATAATTTTTAAAAAGTTAAAAATATCTTTTTTGGTGTTTATTTTTATCAAAATGGTTTCTAATTTTTTTTTAAGGAAAATACAAAATTAAAAAACAAATTTTGAAAACTCAATCAATTAGAGTCTAAGAGTTCAGCTAATTAGTTTCATTTGAGTCACACCACCCAAATCTTTATGGTCACAATTATCATAATTGAAAAGTTGAAAGGGTTTACACTGACCTTGAGATTTGGAGAAAATACGAGTCTTACAATTTTGACATAATTACATTGAGCTCCTTTATGTTACATGGAATCTTCAAAATAAATCAAATACCCGTGTCGGACACCCAACACTCGGAAAACGGTCGACACTTCTCATATATTTGTACCATCTTACATATATCATTTGTTTTATAATTGGTATAAAATACCCTTTTGACGATATATGTTATATATAGTACCATTTTATCTCACATAAAAATGGCTTTTTTTCGCCGAGTCCAAAAAAAAAAATTATAAAAATGACTTTTTTTTTACTAAGCCCGTGTACCCTTAAATTTGATATTTGATGAGTCCAACCTCTAGACCCGCACCCGCATTTGCATCTGACAACCTTACCCTCATCCATGTAACATAGGCTTTTAATTTATATAGCACTTAACCCCCTTTTCATCAATAATTTGTTAGTCAAATGAATAGAAAAATGATGTGGTCATTTGTTTAATACTTAAATGTATATTTTTTCTTATTTATCCTTGTGTCTTCATACCATCAGCTTTAGTTTAAATCCATTTAGCCTTACTAAAAGGGAGGTAAATATAATTATCGTAAAACTATGGGACTTCTTGTTTTTTCTCTAAATCTCAAGAGAGAATAGTATAATTTACCTGACTTGAAATGTATTGTTCCATCTTAAAAATAAAAATAAAAAAAGTATTGTAGCCTTGTATTGTATACTTGCATCATGCTAGTAACTGGCTCATAGCAAGAATTCTTTTTTTAGTTTCTTATATTGACATAAATAAAATAAAAAAAAAAATTCTCTTTACATGTTGGAACATGTGAAAAATGTTATTTTTATTTGGAATTAAAGGCAAACACCAAAGGAGTTTCAGTCTCTTAAAAATGAGAGTATTATAGATCTCCCATAGTATAGAAAAGGGGAAGAGGCGAGTAGTAGTACTAGATTGTATTAGAATTAATGACCTCAGACTTCGGGAGATTTATTTAGAAGGAGAAAAAAAAATAAAAAATAAAATAAAGGAATTTTTTGTGGTTGTTGAAATTGAAAGATCACTGAATATTCATGCAACATTTGGATAGATTCAATTCATGAATATGAAAGACTACCAAATCACATGAATTATACCCAAATTGTTAGTCGTAAGATTCACACACAATTCTGAAAGATTCATTAAGATTCGTTAAAAATATAAAATTCAGCAAAAAGATTCAAACCAACTGAATCGAAAGATACATATCATGAATTGTAAGATTCTAACGACTAGGAGTGCATGTTTAGTATGGAAGTTGTAAATTACCTTTAAAGCAAAAAATTGACCAGTCCATTTGTGTTGCACTAATCGCACAATTCCACCATTTCCCTTTCCGATGACTTTAATTGCATCAAAGTCAGCCAAGCTTATCTGGTTATCTGATGGCTGTATAAGCGGTGGCTGAACAGACATTCACATACAAATAAAACAATTAGAAAACTTCCAAAGCTGGAATGTGCTCATAGATATGCAATTATATCCCTATTTGCAAAATCACACTATTTAAAACATCTACCAGATAATTTAGCCAAGTTCCAAATCAGAAAATGCCTACCAAAGAAATCACTTTCTGGGACAATTTACGTCAGAGGGAGAAATAAACAGCCAATTTTCTACAGAAAAATATTGGGGAAATTGTAAATCAATGGAAAGACCCAAAAAAATTTGCAAAATCATGGAAAAGTTTATCACTTCAATTATTAAAGTTGATAAGTTTACCATTCATTTGCAATTTATTTTTGATATTTCAACAATTGCAATTTCCCCAAAAATATTTATAAACGGAATTATTGATACACTTGTAAATATCACCAAATTTGAAACAAAAATGAAAATGACAAGAAAAGTTACATTTGGGAATGAATGGATTACGCAAAGCTTATTTCAGAACTTGCATGTTTGCAACCACATATTAAGCTATAGATCTAAGACCTACAAGTCAGACAAGTATGCTGGATTCTTAAACCCTAATTAAGAGTGGAAAGACCAACAAAAAAAAAAACAGCAAACATAGCACAACAGGTTATCAGAGAAATCAACAGAAATTTCAGTGGGAAACATCAATTTGCAGCTAAATTAGTTTAATAAATTAACAAACTTTGGCTTAAACAGTGAGTAAATAATCAACTACAGATCGATTCGACCATCAAAAGGCTATGTAACGTCAAAAAAAAAAAAATGACAACAAAATTACAAGAGTGACTTTGTTGACAATGACATTAAATAGTACTCTACAGATCTAATGCAAAACGTACACCGATGAAATTCGATCGAATGAAAACCAAAGATCGTGAAATGGAATTTTGAAACGATCTAATCTTACAGTTTCGACTTGGCTCTGCGAGACAATTCGAACTCCGTCCCTATTCACGAGTAGATCACCATCCATAAACGTTCCGGATTCAGTCCTACAAAGAGTTCAAGAAATGAATGTTAGACAAAGATTATATATTCTCCTCTGCATATACATGGCTCACGCTTATCTATATCTACATATATGTACATAAATAGAGAGAGAGAGAGAGAGAGAGAGATACAGAAATTTGGAGAAAGCAACTTCATCGGAGGGAGGGAGAGAGAGCTTGAGGCTGGGGCGTAAAGTTCCCTTCTTCATGGTGCTCCTCTCTCTCTCTCTCTCTCTCTCTCTCTCTGTCTGGTGCAGAGTGGTTGTGTTGTGACTCGTGAGGTCTTTCAAAATGAAAATTTCTAGGTTTTGTACTTATTTATTTATTGAAAGTATTATCAGTATATGTATTACAGTATATATTTATGTATTATTTTAAAATGATGAAGTGTATGTGTGTCTATATGTATGAATTGGGCTGGTGATAGAAACAGAGAGAACAGTCAACGATCAGCGTATAATAAGAACCGAAACGAGGACGAAGGTGGTGACTGGTGGTGTGACAGATGGTCCCCCCTTTACTTTTCCTTCTTTTACCCGCCCCGCGTCGACTTTTCTTCAACGGTTAATTATTGGTTTAATTATAATTTGGCCCTCTATGTTTGATCAATTTTTTATTTTGGCCCTTTAAATTTATTTCTTTTCACTTTGATATTTTATATTTGGAAAAATTAGTCTGGGGTCCCTCCCCCACTTTTCGTAATGGAAGAGATCTACAAAATTATTTTTTGATGTCTAAGGTCCCTAAACATATATCAGAGAAATTTGACTATTTGCCCACGATTTCTTTCTCTCTCCCCTACAACCAAATGAACAAAAGCTTCAAGATCTTCGTCTACCCTACCCCCAAATCCCACTCCTTCACCAACGTCCTCCTCCCAGTCTCTAGCGATCCAGGCGGCAACTACACCAGCGAATCCTTCTTCAAAAAGTCCCTCGGCAAGTCTCACTTTCTCACCTTCTCACCACCAATTCCTCCGACGCCGACTTCTTCTTCCTCTCCTTCTCCATCGCCGCCATGCGTCACGATTGACAGTGAACATTCTAAGTCTGCTGGGCGTGATGATGATAGTGATGGATTAAATGCTTCCGATCAGGACTGACTATATAAGTCAGTTCCCATTAAGTAAAATGATTTCCTTCATTTTTGTATTACAGCAAGGAAATCAGTGGTTTCTGGAAATCATGTTTTTTGAATCTTTGGTATGTATAAAGGTGTAATGATGTCAACTTGAGAATTGAATTCATTTTATAACCCACAAATTTCTTCTCTCGGTGCTCTAGTTGGAGTGGTGAGCGTTGTGGATATATCCCCAGAGAAATTCTCATTGGTGGTTTGTAAGGAGGTCTTGTTGCTGCTAATGATGATTGCTTGGGTGGATTTCATTTGTTTTTCACTTTGAAGAACTGGAACATAACAGATTTGCTTTTCTGCAGGGAGCAACTATCACTCTGTTTGTTGAATTAAAGGAGATGTAACAACTGCTGAATATGGTTGTTATGGTTGCTATGCTTGGTGGAGATGGAGCAGTGGGTCATATACTAGAAGGATCAGAGGCAGAGATGGCACATAGGACTGAGGAATTAGGCAAGACATTCACTCTTTGGCATTTGGTTTAGAGAAGACATTCTTTTTGGAATGGATTTGGGTTGCTGCGTACTTTCACTTTTTTTGCTACATCGACATGGCTGGGCTAAATTTCTCTAGAGCAGAATTTCTCTGGAGAGAAATTCCGAAATGCAGAGAAAATTGGTCAAAACACAGAGAATCTAGAAAAATTCAAAATTTTTCTGGAAAGAAATTCCAAAGTCTAGAGAAATTTGGTTAAAACACAGAGAATCCAGAATTTCTCTGGAGAGAAATTTTCATTCAAGAGAAATTTCTCTGGTGGGTGGAATGTAGTGAACCTCGCAGCTTTGATTTTTCTCAAGGGACGGTGGGTCAGCAAAGCATCAATGATCCAATTTTACTTACCATTTGTCATCATATTTGGTCTGGGAATCACCTTCAGATGATGGACTTTCATAACGTTCTTGGCCTTTTTCACCTTCCTTCTAGTAGGTTGGTTTCTTCTTGGTACTTACTTCTTCAGGAATTTGATCCAATTGTAGCCTTATGGTGTGTACCAACTTTAGTTTAACAATTGCTTGTGGATTTCATGTATGATGTACCTAAAATCACTAGAAAATACTCTGATTTGCACCATTTTAGGAATTGGATGAGACATTTTCAAAACAAAAAAAATCAAAAAAATTGAATAAACCAGAGAAAATTTTCTCTGGTTTGAAATTTCTCTGGATGGAAATTTCTCTGGGTTGAAATTTCTCTGGACATAATTTCTCTGGACCAGAATTTCTCTGGATCAAACTGATGGACCTTTGACATTATGAAAATGTTAGATATCCTTTATACTATAAAGTCTTAATATCAGGGACCCTAAAAAAAAAAAAACCCTTTATATTTTAAGTTTTTTCTAATTTATTTCTAAAGTTAATTTTTATTCAAAATTAGATAAAAAATATCATAATAATTGTCACATAATATAAAATATATATATTATTATGTTAAAATTAAAATTTATGTTAAATATGTGAGTTATATATAATAAAATATTTTTTATACTACGTAATTATTAATGTGCCATTTTCTGTCTAATTTTTAACAAAAATTAACTTTAAAAGTAAATTGAAAAAACTTGAAACATGAAGGGTCCAAGTAGGACAAAAAGAACTTTAAGGGTCAAAATAGGAAAGTGACCAAACATAAAGGGGTAATGTGTATTTTACCCTTAATTATTAATATTTCGGAGAAATTATGCTAACCTCCCTTAATTTATGAGAAAAAATCAAAAAATCTCATTAATTTGACACAATTACACTATGTTTTATTTAAATGTAAATAGACATGCAAGTTTCACGAGGGTAAAAGTGGAGTTTACATCTGGTGCAAAAAGCACAGTTCTCACTAAGAATTATTTTAAATGTGACTTATTTTAATATTTTAGAAATAACCTATAAATAAATAAGCATTTATTACACTTTTATGTAAGTGTACAATTATACTTTGAGTCGTTATTGCTTAATGTAATTTTCCCTATATATAGCTTTTGTTGGTAAACATGCTACCATTTTTACAAGTGATTGGTTTACTTGAGTTTTTTGTTTTTTAATTCAAGGAAAGTAACTAAAACTCAAAATGTGTTTAATAAGTATATTACTTGGTTTTCATTGGATTTTTTGGTTTGCTTTGTACAATCTACTTATAATCTAAAATAAATTCTTATGTTATTCGTATTAGACTTGTTGTACTGGGGTTAATACTATTATAAGTAGGTTAACTTAGTGTCAAGATAATAGATATATTTAATTAAATAAGTTGTGTTAATATTGAGTGTTTTAGATACAAACCAACAATGGCACGACACGACACAATTCCCACCCCTAATCCCACTATCCTTCATTTCATCTTCCACCTCTTATGTCCCTTGTTGACCTCTCTCCTTACCCTTGATCTCTTCGTCCACTTGCACTAGTTTATATCATTTCCACCTAAATCCACTAGTTTGCACTATTGTTAGACAATCTTCACTGTATTCGAAGATTTAAAGAAATGAGAGAAATTATTTGATTAGAAAAATCAAAATAGTATAAAATAAAATAAAAACAACATATTCTTATTTTGTTACAAAAATAAAATTAGAATCTGATAAAAATAAATAAAACACAAAGTAAATTAATTACTTACCTTATTAATTTGTCGAACAAATTTTATGATCAAGTCCAGTGTTTAACATTGTATTCTTAAGACAAATCCGTCATTTCCACGGTACTTTAAAACTGTGGACGTCTATCTCTCAGGATAAAATGATCAACAATAAATAGTAGCAACACTACAAACTATTCACACAGCGACCACACTTTGAGTTTCCACTCTTTCTTATAGGAAAATAATGCAGCAAAATGCAGAGAGAACAATAGAAGAAATTATGATGAAAATTCAAGTGAGAAATCCAAATGAGGGACTGCCTATTTATAAATGAAATAATAGCTATTCGGTTTGAATCCAACAGGTAGCAGATCTGTTTGAACAGGTACCATACCTGTTCGGCACTGTTTGAACAGAAACAAACCTGTTCAGTTTGAATTTTGAACAGATAACTGAATCTGATCGGTTTATATTGGACAGATATGGACCTGTTTGGGTGTAGGAATAATCTAGACACCATTTCGAAATTGTTTTCAAAATTTAAATTCAAAAAAGGTAAGAATTTAATTTTAGAAAAATAAAAATTCAAAATGTTTTTAGCCCAAAAAGATAAGCATTGCGCTGGACAAACCCAACCCAACCTCACACCACGCACCCGCGCTCAAGCCCAAGCCCAAGCCCAGCTCAGCCCACTCGACTGGACGGACAGCAACGGCGGCGTGCACGTATGTGTTTATTTTTGGGTCTAATGGGTCTAGCCCACTTTGTCCATAATATTCCCCTCTACAAAACAGGCCTACCTCAAGTTCCAAATCCAAGCCTTATAACCTCAAGTTCCAAATCCAAGCCTTATAAACCCACAAGAAGTTTGCCTACCAAACCAATGCGGGACAAGTTTTAACTCAAACCTTTATGGAAATTACACCAAAAACACCATTTTCATGGTGCTCACTTTGGCTTCAATTTCTCATTCACTCGATAATGATTTTGAACAATCAAATGTACTACGTGAATCACAACGCGGCATAGAATGCATTACCACTTAAACCCGCCAACTTTGGCGTATAAGTCCCACCTAAAAATTAGACCAAAGTTGAGAAAAAATCTGATTTTTCCAAAACCATTTCATGCAATCCCCTAGATGAATGGAATTTGACGACAACAGAAATGCAACAATATGCAGAATTTGTCAAAAAAGTATAAATTGAAAATATCTTGCATCAAGATAGGTAGCTTTCGGTTTTGAACCTTCCCTAGTGATAACCTATCGGACTTACTTGTTAACTAATGGACGCGATGCCTTGAATTGTTCGGCTGTTTGTATAAGTCAAGACAATAGATTTCATACAAAATATCTTCTGACACATCGTGGTTCTCAAGGTTGTGTTCATTTTGGCCTTGAACACTCATTGTTGTTTATAAGTGTTTCTAGAGAATTTAGCCTCTTTATTCTCATAGAACCGGCCCTAGTTCGACACTCATATAGGTGATTCTTATTGTGAGTATCCCATATACTCGTCTTGATTTTTATGCCTAAATCAAGATATAAGTAATCATTAAAAGCGAAGTTTATCCTTAAACCCCTGCATACAACACATGTTGCAGATATCACTCTCACCATAGGAATGGATAGGAAATTTTA